TTCTTCTTCTTCTTCTTCTTCTTCTTCTTCTTCTTCTTCTTCTTCTCCTTCTCCTTCTCCTTCTCCTTCTCCTTCTCCTTCTCCTTTCTCCTTTCTCCTTTCTCCTTTCTCCTTTCTCCTCCTTCTCCTTCTTCTTCCTGAATTCTGTTGTGGTGAGGACACTGAACATGAGCTCCACCCTCCTAACCCATTCCTTACTGTGCAATCCATTACTGTTGACCTAGGTACAGTGTTCCACAGCAAGTCTCTCATTTGTCATCTTGAACTGGAATTCTATGCCTGTCCTTTAGTAACTCCCAGTCTTTCCCCACCACCAGCCCTAGGAACAATTACTTCACTCTTATTTAACGAATTTAATGAGTTTCTATTTGTCATATACATGGAATCTTGCATGGTTTTCCTTCTGTGTCCAGCTCTTTTCACTGTAAATTTACATCTCCACGTTTCATCCATAGGGCTGCATGTGCAGGATTTTCTTCTTCTTAAAGGGTGACCAGCAGTCTGCTTTCTCCATGCTTTCATTTGTCTGTGGACACTGAGGGTATTTGTGCATCTTGGCTATTGTGGCTAGTGCTGCAGTGAGCACGACAGTGTGAAAGTCCTTGAGAACAGAGCTATTGATTGGGCAAGGTGAGGACAGCTGGAGTCCCAGCACTCAGGAGGCTGAGGCAAGACAACTGCCAGGAGGTCGCGGCCAGCCTAGGCTACATACTGAGTTGAAGGCCAGCCGGAACTGAGCAAGAAGCTGTCCCAACCAAAGCAAAACAAAACAAACAAAGCCAAAACCAAAAATAGAACTTTTGTGGATCCAGCAATCCCATTTATGAATATTTATAAAAAAGATAAACATGAGGTTTTAAGAAAATCTGTAATACACTTTTTAAACCTCACTTCCAATACCACTGTCGTATTGAAATCAGTATGGTTCTTTAAATCCATTTTATTTTCCTTCTTTAACAGCAGCTAGCATAGGAGCCTCTCATTTTGTACAGATCTTTTGTGGCTTCTGATAGTAGCTCAGTGATAATACGTACATATGTTCTGAGCTTTGTGGTGAGGGGATTCTTTTAACTTAGAAGATGAAAGCACTTGTTGAGCTGTCTCCATGTACTAGGAACTTTCTCCTCCTTCTCCACATTTTTTGGGGGTCCCAGGAATCGAACGCAGGACTTTGCACTCGCCAGGCAGGTGCTTATGCCCCTGAGCTATGTCCACATCTCCACATGTGATGCACTGCTTTGCCTGCTTCACAGGATGTCTTGCTGGACCGAGAAGACCCACGTGCGAGGCTTCCGCTCGTCTGTGCTCTCGGGCTGTGCTGTCCCTCTGAACCTGTGCTTTCTTTCAGAAACCAGCTCACTCAGTCAATGTGGGGCTGCACCGTCTGCAGCGTTCATGTAAAGACATCGTTGGCTCTCATCGTATCTGGCTCTGTCCTCTTTTGTCCCACCTTCTGTACATAGTCACCCTAAATTTAGGCTCCTCCTAGACATCTGTGAAGGAAAATTCATTCATTTAGGATCCCCACTGATTTCTTCCCACCAAACTGATTGTCAGTTCTCCAATTTTCCATTTTTGGGAGAGAGCTTTCTAACTCTTCCACAAGGAGAGAAATGCTTTTACTAGAAGGAAGGACATTTGTTCCCTCCCCTGGAGATTTTCGCACCTCCTTATCTCTATTCAAGAAGCCGTGCCTGACAATCTGAACTGTCACACATAGGCCATTCTGTTTGCAGCTCAACAGTTTAAAGCCTTTGTTGAGTAACGTTGCTCAGAACTCAGTCATCTTTTAGAGATGGAATTAGTAATGTTACTATGAGTCCAAGGTTCTCTTCTCTGGGTTTTTTATCTAAAGCTTCTGCATTTTTCTTCAAAGAGTATTTAGTGACCGTCTCTCATAGACCACTGTTGACAAGGCGCTCTCTTCCTCATGGATCTTGCCAGGAAAATACTGGTCTGTTCACACAGAGTGAGCCGCACTAATTCTGAGTGATGTACACATAGGAAATTCATGCTGAAAGGGCTACACTTGGGAGCATCTCCAATAAGAGCACGTGAGCACAGGAATAAGGATAAACTGTTGTCCACTTTTATGAAATCCAATCTTATTCCCCTCCTTTTATTTGTTCTGTGTGCCAAATGGGTGAGACTCAAAAGGCAGAATGCCACCGAGCATCTTTTCACTTCTTTCTGCCTAAGATGGATTGATTGACCCTCAGAGCTTGTTCCCTTGTTCTGTAGCTCTTCCATTCAATTCAAAGCTCAAGATTTGTGGCTTTCCAGTTGGAGGCACAATGGTGGCAGAGATAAGCAGTTTCAGTGGCAATAACCATGTGAGAGATCTTGTGATTTATCTGCACTGGATATGTATTTTATATCTGGTGGTATATTTTTCACATTTGCTGTTTCTTAGGATTAGCAAACCAGTGCAAATCTTGTTTCATTCCTGCCTGTGATTTAGTGCAGCATCCAGCAAAGCTCAGCTTAATTTAACATATGCTTACTCAGGATTAAGGATGATTTTTAAAGAAAAACTCTTTTGATAGACAGTAAAATAGAATCTGCAGAGTAAAATGGACTCCACAGAGAAGGAGTTTGGTTGGTGCCAACAACAAAGCCTAGAGCTCCTGTCCCAACTCCCTAAAGCCTTTGGATTACACGCTGTGAATGTCAAATTCTGAACTGTGATGACCCCTGTCTCACCATGTTCTTCATTTCCCCAATCGCTGCAGTGTCGCCTATGACTGCTCTGTGGCAAAGAAGAGGCGGGCTGAGGAGCAGGCTTTGGGTGTCCCCGTCAACAAAAGGAAGTCCCTGCTGATGAAGCCCCGACACTACAGCCCGAGCATGGACCGCAAAGGAGACCAGGATGGCAGGACCAAAGAGGAGCATCTCTTGGAACCCAGCAACACCTCTGCTGCAGGTAGTGAGGAGAATAGGCCAAGGAGACCTAGTCCCTGGCACCAAGACTCAGCCCTATGGAGGGCCAGGGTCCATTGATTTGTGGAATTTGGAAACAAACCAAACATGTGTTTCACTCAATAGGCACTTACTGGGGGCCCACATTTTATCATACAAGAGAGAGCATCAGAGGTAACCAACAGAGTTCTTGCCCTGGGCTCATTTTTAAAAGTGCAGGATTGGGCCTCTTACTGAAGAAAATAAAAAATACTAGGTCTAAAAGTTGAAGAGTTTCTGTCAGCCTACTCAAAGAGATGTCTACTTTCTGAAAAGAATATTCCAAATTACAGAGACTATTTAAGCTTTGACATATCCTTCAATGATCAAGTTCTATATAATTTTCATTAATGGTTATAGTATACATCATATATATATACATATAATATACTATATGTATGATATACTATATAGTATACATATCACTTAATTTTTGTTTGATCAATATACACAGGATTATTTATTCCACAAAATATAATTGGTAATAACAATATGAACCAAGGCAGATGGTCTGAGACCTGAATAAATATTTATACAAAGGGACTGTAGAAGGGACTTGAAGTTCTCATCTCAGAGGCCCTTTCATGAGGAAAATAATATTGAAAATATATCACCACGCCCAGAAAGTCTAAAACTCCTTTACTTTTACTTTTATGTACACATTATACTTAATTCAATTCTTCACTCCCTCTTCAGGTATTTTTGCATGCTAAAAGAAACGCAGTCCCTGTTTTGAAACTTTGGGATTTATTTCTCTCCAGCTTGTGGTCACTGCCATTGTTCTCAGCACTTGCATGTGTGTAGGGGTTAGAGCGAGCGTCAGCAATCGCTTTAGTGAAAGGCTGAAATGAGAATGCAAAGAATTTCAAAAATGTATGAAAGTATAATAAATTAAAATCTAGGGCACTGGGGAGATGGCTCAGTGGAATGAGCACTTCCCTGGAAAGTGCAAGGGCCTGAGTTCAACCCCCGGTTCCTAAATAAATAAATAAATCTAAAGCTTGGACTAACAAGAAAAGGTGTATGTGCTATTCCACTACACATACACTTTTCTGAATGTTTAAAGAATGAAAATATATATAGTTCTTTGGAAATTATATAAAAATACATTGACTGAGAGCAGAAAACTCAGCTCAGACTCACCCTACCTCAAGGAATGCTCTCATAAACATCACATGTTCTATGGTTAAAACAAAGTTGCATGCTGATTTGAACTCATTTGAGTTAATTTTCTGGTTTGCCCATATTTAGCATATTTTAAGGCCTTGTGGATCATCTGTAAATTATAACCAACTTCTACTTTTTATTTAAGAAAATTTCATGTTGAGTTTTATAGAAAATTCACTGACTCATTGAGGGTGGAATGGAGGTGAATTTACATAGTTAAAAAATATTTGCACTGACACACTCCCGTAAGACCCAGGCAGCCAAAGGCTGTCTAGCTTGCTGGCTTCCCCTTGTCTGTTGTAGTAGTTTGACCATCATTGATTGACTTTGGCCAAGTGACTATTTTTCAAATGTGTTCAGTTAAAGATTCAGTGACATGCATCGGTGGGTATCTGTTTGCATGTTTGTAGATGCTTTTTGTTTTGATTTTTTGAGATTGGGTCTTACTGTGCATCTCAATCTGGCCTTGAGCTTACTTTGTCACCCAGACTGATCTCAAACTCACAATAATCCTCCCATCTCAGCCTCCTGACTCCAGGGATTATAGGCATACACCACTACACCTGGACGCTAAAGTTTTTATGTAATACCAGAAATATTACTGATGGTAATACATATTCTAAAGTAACAGCATCAGAAACCATTGTTTTTTAGTTATTCATATATTCTATACATATAAATTATGTTTGGAATTTATATCTCGGTCAAAGAATATGATGCATATTTAAGTTTAAAAGTTATTACAGTAAAAGACACATTTCCATAATTCCCCCCAAATACTTTCCCTCGCTTCAGAATACCCATCCTGTCCTTCTTGTCTTTTCTGAAGCAGTTCCAGAAGTCTTCTTTAGTGAGTGGCTTTATTCTCTTGTAACTGCCTTGCTATCAAGAATTCTAAAGTCTTTACCTCTCGTGATAATTTTGAAGAGCCAACAGTGCAGGATGCCATATCCAGTGAGTGAGGCGGATGCGGGCACCCATGATGTTTTTATTTGACAGAAATTTCCTTAAGCATAAACAGCAAAACTGCTTCAGAAAATGGCAAGAATGATGGGCTAAGTATGTTATAAGCAGGGTAGAGTATTTGGAGGGGCTTAATGGCAGTGTGCCATGTCCTGTGGAAATGTGTACAATCTACACATTCATCTTTGTCACACTTCTGTATCACGTAATGCACACTAGAGTACCCCAGGCATGTGTGGGAAGGGTCTCAACTTTACAGATGAGATACTGAGTACCAGTGAGAGTTACTCAAGATAACACATCTTGTACGTGTGAGAAAGAAGGTAATTAGGAAGCAACTGGAAGGACAGGCAGAACAACTCCTGCCCAGTTGACCGTGTGCCATAACCCATTTTCTCCCTTCTTGACTCCCTTCATCATGAAGATTGGGCAAAGTTTTAACTGTCAAATGGTAAAGTCACCATCCCCAGACATGCTAGCTCATAGATGTTTCTATTCCTGATCACCAGAGCAAAGCTTTTACGTTGCTTTCAGCCCTGTGGCAAGACACCTCTTAACTCAACTCTTCCAGATGAAGAGAGAGCTAAGTTAGTGCCCACACTGGCAGAAGCGTTCCCTCCCAAGTAGCCTCTCGTTCACTCCACTCGCTTTACTCCAGGTGTGCACCCGCTGTGTCTCCAGCCACAGCGAAGTTCAGGTAGTGAGAGCAAGTGGTGCTCATGAAGGCTAACGTCCTGTGCTCGAGTGCTGTGTTTTAGTTCATGTTCTGGCAAAAGCCCCACACCTCACCGGGCTCACTGTCAAAGAAATGCAGGTGGACATTTGAGATATTAAAAAGAATGTGGCCGAATCATGAAAATATGCCTCACTCATGGGGAAGAAAACACTGCAACAAGGGAGAGCATGTGCAGACCTGCCCGATCCAGAAGGAGAAGGAGAAGCAGCTCAAAGCAGGAGTGACCCAGCCCGTGTGGCAGTTTCCAGCACATGACCATGTGTGTGTCACAAGTCAGGGAAATCCTTCCCGGCCACTGACATTCTACAGGCTGCAGTGGTACTTATAACAGTTCATCTCTCGATGCATAGCAAACAAGAGATAAATCACTGCAGCTTAAGAACTTTAAAAGCTTAGTTCATCTGCCTGGAAAATTTTACATGTTTAAGAAGTTTGGAAAAAAAATTATCTATAGAAATAGTTACAGAAATGGAACTGAAATCCAATGATAATAAAGTTCAGTTATACTCACAATGTCAATTCTGACTGTGCTACAGTGTTTTAGAACATTGAAAGATCCAGCCCAGGCGGATGCAGAACAAGTACATATTCAAGAATTCATTACTAGATGGGCATGGTAGCACATGCGTATAATCCCTATACTAGGGAGGCTGAGACAGGATGATCTTTGGGAGTCCAAACCAGGCTGGGGTACTTGGTGAGTTCAAGGCCAGCCTGAGCTGCACAGGGAGACCCTGTCTCAAAAAAAGAAAAAAGAAAAGAAAAAAAAATTTATTACTGTGTACATACTAGGTTACTAACAACTCAGAGTACACCCTAAGGTTTTTTTAAGAAAATAAAAATAGTAAAAACAAACATTAGAAATGGTACAGAATTTCACTAAGCAAGATAATAAGGATTCAACAGTGGTTGTTATATTGCATAGTGTTGTCCTCAAATTAATTTGCAGATTATCAGATATAATTATGCATGCACAATTGGTCAGAGAAAAAAGATAGCTTGGATACTGCTGGTTTCTGCTGGTCTATGAAAAGAAGCAGTTAAAGTTTAATTTTTTTTTCTTTCTTTGTCGCCTTTTCAATTTTTTGAAACTTTTTTTGACCAATTGTGCATGCTTATATCTGCAAAGCTGAGGTTGACCTATTTGTTAGTTTTTCTAGTATTGTGTCATTTGTTTTGGATATTTTTTTCTGTAATTGAAAGATCACTGCTGTGCTCCTTGAAAACTAGCTGACTACTTCATCCTTGTGTGTTCATATAAATTCACCCTTGAACATGCCCAAACTTAGGACCATAAGGATACTTTACTGTTGGAAGTTTCTCCTGCAGGCAGCTGTTTTGTGAGCACCAGCTTTGGCACATGGTGGTCCTGGGCTGTAGGGCTTGCAGTAGTTGAAAGGACTTGGGTCTGGAGCCCTGTTTCCTTCCATGGGTCTGGGCTGAGCCTCCTTGTGGCCACTGGGTGACCTTGAATAAGCCCTTCACTAAAACTGCAGTCTCCCTTTCTTGTAGTGAGCGTACAGATTAAGTGAGATATGCATGCCAAAGATACTTGAGTTTATCATCCTGGGAAGGATCAATGGGCCACCCAGCCATTGGTCATGGATTCATCTTCGTTTAGCAAATGAGGGCTCAGGACCTAGCAGACCAGAGTGCTGACCATAGTCAAGCAGGCAGTGAGTCCTGGGCCGGCAGCCCATTCCCTCTCTGTGCACAGGCACCTCTAAAGGACCCGTGGTGTGTGAGTCTACGGAATGACTCTTAGCCCCGCTGGGGCAGCCAGGACAGCATGGGCGGGGCCCTCCAAAGGTTGCTGGGCTGCTTAGTGCTGCGGACCCTCCCTGTCCTTAGCGGTCAGTCTTACTCATTGTTCCATGTGAAAAACAGGTCCACCTCATGCCTGATAAATCTTTTGTGTCCCCTGCTGTTGCTGTCTTTGGAAATAGTGTCTGGCGAAGGCAGAGCCAAGCCACCACTGACTGACCAAGTACCTGTTGGTGCTCTGCGGGGACCGAGAGCATGTGCACAGGGCGGGGCTGCTGTCCTTGCTGGGTGACTGTAAATGCTGGCTCGGTTGTGCTAGCAACCTGTCCGCCTGGGCACAGACTGGAGTGCTGGCCTCACAGCTGGGCCCAGATCCCCCCAGCTCTTCTGGCAGGGTGGCTCCAGCTATTCCGGTGGCAGAGGCCCGAGATACAGCCCCGCGCTCCCAGGGAGAAAGAGAAAAAAGACCCTCTTTAAAAAAGCAGCCAGCCCTATTACAAAGCTGGGAGAAACCAGCACCCTGTCACAGATCTGTCAGGTTCAAAAGCTAGCTCAGATTTTTTTCTTAGGACCCCAGGAGGGTTTGGGAACACGCAAAGTTGGTTTGCAGTTTGCAGAACACCCTGGAAACCAACGCGTGCAATGTGCGTAGGCACCTCTGTCGGCAGGGCTCCTCTTTTTCTGAAGAATAATTAATAAATATTTTCTTTTAGCATATAACAAACAGTTGAACCAAACAATTATGTAAACTGGAAATGACCCAAAATGCTAGCGGTTGGCAGCCGCACAGTGAAATGCATTGTCGTGCACATGTGCGCGTGTGTCGCTCCCGCCTCTGGTGATCTGCACTTAATAGGAATATTTTAAACTATGTAGCTAAGCAACAGAGGTAATTGTTGCTTTCTAGAGCTTTTGTTAGCACTCTAACACAGCCCAAATATGCATAATTAGGTATAATGTCTATAAATCATTATTGTACACATGTGGGTAGTTAAGTGGAGTGAGAGAATAGTTCAATGAATTGAGCATATTCACTGAAAATGCTTTTTATTTGTTTTCTGTAGTTCATAATACTTTAAAATTATCATAACCCTTTACACTTTCTCTTAACAGCCAACCGTGATACTGAGAGAAACTTCATTTGCATTTTAGACTATGTTTAATATATTATTTAAACCTGGAGTTCCTCTGATAGGAATTCAGGAGAGGATGGGCCCACCCTGTCAAATAGTATGCGCCTGTTTATCTAGCCTCTCTTCTAGGATCTAAAATGTTAAATTTTTCAGTTTTTGTTGAATAGATCCCAACAAAAGCCTGCACCCTATAATCAGCATTATTTACAGGGGCTAGTGTTGTGACTGCGTTCTTCCCTTCATCCAAAAATGCTTTTAGTTACTATGGTAATATTTACTTGATCCTGGCAGTCCAGTGTTGATTTAGGGAGATAATTACCAGAAAGGAAGATGATGGAGATGTATTTTTGAGTGTCCTTGTCGGAGAAAATGTTTATAAAAAATTAAATGAGAACAAAAAAGACACATTGTCTTCCACGCAAACACCCTTTCCTGTGGCCCTCGCTTGGATTGCTGTGCTTTTCTTCCCCCAAAGATGTTTATTAACATAGAATGGCTTTGCTTGGTGTCTTTCACGGTCTTTAAGGGTACTTAATATTTTTTGTTTCCCATCTTCTCTTCCTGTGTTTGAAAGACAAAATTGGTCTTTTTTTGTTTTGTTGGTCCTACGGGATGTCAGAGAACCATAGCTTTGTTGTGTGGTGTGGTTTGCAGCCTGGTGCGTCCTGGCCATCACCGTGTGCACCTGGGCCGGGGCTGGGGTCCCCTGACCTCCACACCTGCAGTGCTATTTTCGGGGAACAGACTTGGGTCAGCTAACCACATGTCCCCACATCCTGTCGCTCCCACTGAGTGAACGGGTAATGCTGACAATGACCGCCCACATGGACCTGGAGCCTTGCTTTTTAATGTTCAGGACCGGGCCCATCCCTGTGTGTGGCACTGGCCCCTTTCAAGGCCTCTAATCACCTCACCTCTCCTCTTCTCTGATTTTGTTTTTCATTTCTTTCTTTCTTTCTTTTTTTGCATAATTTTATTGAGAAACAAATAGCAATGAGATAGTTTCAAATCAAATTGGTAGGACAAGTTCAATAATTAACACATTGTAAACTCTCTTCCTAACAGTTATTTGCTGTACAAGATGCGGACGTGACATCCTATTTACAAACACTATTAGAATCAATCCTTCTATTCATTAAGAGAATGTAACTATAGATCTATCCTGACCACTTTGAATACACAGATACAAACTGATTTCTTTTTTACACAAATGCAAGCAAATATTGGGTTAGAAACAGATACTGTTTGTGATAGGGTCAGGATAATCGTCATCTGTGTTTTCCTCAACGTGGACTTTTAGTGGGAGAATTACAAAAGAGTTTTGTCTTGCTGATGGGATTTTGTTTCCTTTTTTGGACGCTAGGGATGGAACCCTAGGCTTCTGCACTGAGCTACATCCTCAGTTCATTTTCCTTCCTTCCTTCCTTCCTTCCTTCCTTCCTTCCTTCCTTCCTTTCTTTTTTTCCTTCTTTCTTTTTTTTTTTTTTTCTTCTGTATTTTAGGGAAGGGTCTACAGGGTATCCAGGGTCTCACTACTAGATCAGACTTGTAGTGATCTGCCTGTTTACAGCCTCCTAAGAGCTGGGATTACAGGCACATGCCACTACCTCCAGGCTTAATTGCTGTCTCAATGCACCCCAGGGGCTAGGCTGGCTTGGCAGGCCCAGGGATTGACATTTTAGCCTCTGTGCCTGCTTGTAGGTGCTTTAAGCTGCTGAGCTATTTGGCTGGCCCTTTCCTTCTTCCCTTGATCCTTTCTTTTTTTCTTCCTTCCTTCCTTTCCTTTCATTTATTTCTTCCCTTGTCTCTCTCCTCCCCTTTTCTCTCTCTTTCTTTCATTCATCAGTTATTCATTTTGTTTTGAGATAGAGTCTCACTAAGGCTGGCTCACCTTGGGGTCCTCCTGTTTCAGTTTCCTGAAGTCCTGGGAACTGAGAAGTTTTACATGTTACGAACTCTTTTAGTCATGGTCATCTCTGTGTATGTATATTTTGTACTTTAGGTAATATTCCTTAAAATCTAAGAGCATGTCTGAGAAACAATAGAGAACATAAACCAAATAATCTTGAAAAATACATTTTTACACTTGATCTTAACCAAAAGAACAAGAAACGATAAAAAATACATTGTTAATAGAAAAATCTAGTTAATATTTTCTTTACAATATATTATAGCATGCATTTTCAGTTTCCTTTGAGTTGGACAAGATGTGGAAATAAGAGGTATATTAATAATAATTTTGTATCTGTACTCCACTATTAATAAACTTTGACTTCTTCTTCTCTTGGTCAGTATTCTTGAAATGTTTAGCTCTTAATATGCCAAAAATTATACTAGATCATTCTTTAAAAGCAACTTTCAGTAATAGATTTTCTTGTAAGACTATATATATTTCTCATCGACATTTATAAAATTAATAGACATCACACATTGTGCATATTATACATGGACACATGGGGTTATTGAAGTATTTAAATAATGAACTCTTGAATTTTACAAATTTAGGGCCCGGCAAGATAGCTCAGTGGTCTAAAGCACCTGCTTAGGCGAGTGAACAGGGACTGCAGTTTGATCCCCGGCACCACAGGCTGTGCCAGTCCTGCCCCCAGGTGGGCTGAGCCGGCCACAAAAACCCAAAATGATGATAATAATAATGATAAATAATTGTGACCGTAAAGGACACAGTGCCACCATCCCCTACGCGCTCCTCTTTACTCTGCTCACTCTTCGCCCACCCTTCCCGCCACTCTCTGAAGCAGGCGCGCAAGCCTCTTCAGTAAGAGTCTTCAGGAGCTGTGAGGTGACCATCGGGCCCCCCAGCCGAAAGGCGGGCTCGTGCAAAGCGCTCGCACGGGTCCTCTGCGTGGGCCTCGGGCGCCCGATCTGGCACGGCGCGCCTTCTGCTCTTGTTCAAAGTTAAGACGCAAAGGCCTTCAGTTAACCCAAGACTGGCCGGCGGCCGTGGGTGCAGCCCGAGGTGCCTCCAGGACGGGACTTCAGAAGTGCTTCAGAAGGCGGCAACAACAGCAGGATAAGTGTGCGAAGGAAAGGGAAGCGTTCTGGGAACTGCGCGTGGCGTTCTGTGCTTTACTGGCATGAACGTTAACATTTAAACATTCCCTGGATATTTTCATCCCGCCTTAGATATGCTTGTGCATGAGTACTCACGTATGTGGCTATATACATTTGCGTATGTGGGTATATGTAACGGTACAATTTCCTTAAAATATTCTTATTCCTGTATTTTAAATATTGCTTTTCTCCCCTATAGAAGAAGTCGTGATAAAACCTCCGGATGACAACCTTCATTCAAATGTGCAGAAGTCCCAGCAGAAAGAAGACCGATATGCGCGCTATCAAGAGCTTGTGGTCAAGTCTTTAATGCACTTGGGAAAATTCGAAAAGAATGTGTGTGTTCAGACCATAAATGAGAATTTAAACGACAGTGGCATCCAGTCTTTAAAAGCGGAGAGTGACGACGCCGACGAGTGCTTTATGATCCACTCGGACGACGGCAGAGACAGAGCGGATGACTCTCAGCCACCCTTCTGCTCCTCAGAGGACAGCGACAGCAGCTCCTCGGGCACAGAGAACGGGTGGGACAGTGGTTCCAACGAGTCCGAAGACGGCAAGCCCCACCGAGGCCCCAAGTACATGCTAGCGGATGATAAAAAAGACCTTTTGGAGGTTCCTGAAATAAAGACAGAAGAGGACAGATTTGCTCCTTGTGAGGACGGGTGTGACTCCAACGCAGAGAGGAGGGACCCCCAGAATGTCTGTGGGGAAGCCCTGGACGGCCGGGCTGAGCCTTCCTTCCCCGAGCTGGGGGAAGCTCCTGGGGAGAGCCCAGCTGCGGCGACCGCGGAGCCCGGGGACCTCGCGCAAGCCAAGGGCAACCTGAACCTGCTGGAGCAGGCCATCGCGCTGCAGGCCGGGCGAGGGTGCCTTCTCCACAGCGCCTACAAGGAGCTGGACAGGCTCCTGCTAGAGCACCTGGCGGGGGAGAAGAGACAAACCAAAGTTATTGACCTGGCTGCAAGACAAGTCTTGAGCAACAAACGTAAGACGCATGTTGGCATTCATTTTAGAAATAAGGTTGCTTTCGGGCTCAGAAAAAAGTTACGTTTGATTATTCCTTCCAGATAGCTTTTTGACAATTTAATTAAATTTAAAAATGGATGCAAACTTCTGAAACGCACAACTTCTCCTCCTCCCACTCTGGAGAGTGCTATGAGCTTATGCTCATTGGGCAGCGTCTGTCCACATGAAGAATACTCAGGACATGTATTTCTTTCAATTGGAGTGATTTAAAAAAAAATACACCATAGCTTTAAAAATATTACACTGTGTTAGACATTGTTAGAATTACAATAGTATCTCTTTTACTTAAAATCATTTTATTAGCTAAACTAATTCTAGAGGTTTAGTTTTTCTTTCCTGCCTTCATTGAATGGTCACTTGGTTTTTTCCTTTGAGATTTAAAATGATATCAAGCTACCGGTAAGCCAAGCAAGATGCACTAGTCCTTCTTGAAATTAAGCCAGGAATCAGCATGCTTATTTATAAGCCTAAGCGTTTACCGGTTCTTTAACTGAGAGCCCATAAATATCCAGGTCAATTGACAGAGTAAATGTGCTTTGAGGAAACTTTAGTGTTGCCCCTTGGGCTTCAAGGAAATACTGGAAATTTCATCCTAGATGGCCCTAAGGCTAGCTCCCGCAGCTGTAAGTTTCATCCTAGATGGCCATAAGGCCAGCTCCAGCAGCTAGAAGTTTCATCCTAGATGGCTCTAAGGCTAGCTCCTGCAGCTCTGTGCTAGGTAAGTGCCTACAGGCTTCACTTAAGATGTGCCCTTCAGGATCCAAGCAGACTCGGAGCTCCAGAGTGTCAGAGCATGCGTTTTCTTGGGTGGACTCTCAGAAGCTTGAGAGCCACGGACTTAGAGAAAATGCCACAGAGAAAAATCAAGGTCACCTGGCTGCAGACCTTAGAACAGAATGCTCCTGTGGTTTAGAAGTTCCGGTTAGATTTATCCAGAAACAAATGATACAATTTGTCATTTTAACGCCATTTGAGCACTCTCTTGCAATCTTTACAAATAATTCTTGCAAAGCTGGGGAAACAGAGGAGATTAAAATAATGCCGCATAGAAGAAGCACAATGCTAAAGCTACACGACCATCCTTACAGGGCTGGGATAAGAGCAGAGTACTCATAACTGCCTGGTAGTTTGGGACAGGCCATTGTATTTAGTTTTGTTCCTTCCATTAATATGTAATTTGTTGAATTTAGCTGTTTCTTTTTTTCTTTCTTTCTTCTTTTTCTTTTCTTTTTTGGTGGTACTAGGGATTGAACTCAGGACCTTGCACTTGCCAGGCAAGCACTTATTCCACTGAGCAATCTCCCCAGCCCCTGTTTCTTTTTTAATGACCTATAAAATCTAAAAAAAAAAAAAATTTACTATAAATACCCAGATCTATAATTTCTCATATACTATGAATTTTTGGTTCTAGGAGCTATAGCTCCCTTATTTCAATGTCTCTGAACTTAGAAAAGTATGCAGCTTCATTTTCAGTACATTTTTCTGTCTTAATCACACATAAACTAATTTAATTTTATACTTGATAACATCTTACAATCAATGAAATACAGTATTTGTGGAAACTTTAAGCCATAACTTAAAATACTTGATGATCCTTGGACAAAGAATCTGTATTTGGGAATGCTGGGTCACTTGGCGACAGGGAACCACCACCAGCCCTGATGAGTCGGCAGGGTGTCCTTGGGCGCAAGGTGCATCCAGCTCTGGAGCATTAAGCATTTCTGCAAGAGATTAGGACAAAGCTCATAGGAAACAGGAAGAAGAGGGAAAACCCAAAGGAGCTGCGGGCTTAGTGGAGGACAGCCAAAGGGTCCCGATTTAGCATTCTCTTTTCTATTCCTTGTCCTGGATATGGGAGCCAGTAGAGATCTTTCTCTCTGCTATTAGTTTCGTGTTCATAAGTGAACACCTACCTCTTTGATTGCCACCTTCTTCTAGAGAACCTCCTGACATCATGTACTTTGAACATTTGACTCTGCTGCTAAGGATTTTTCCCTAGAAATACTATGGCTTGAACACAAGGCTTCCACATACTGTGCAAATCCTGAACCGCTGAGCTACATCCCCAGCTGTCCTTATTTTGAGGCAGGGTCTAACTAAGTTATCCAGGCTGGCCTTGAGCTTGGCATCATGCTGCCTCAGGTCCCGCCCCCTGCCAAGTACCAGGAGAAGACCGACATTTCAAAATATCCTTTTACTAATGCCCTCAGAAAAGTGAGCAATTCTACAAAACACGGGCTACGCCACTGGTGTGAAGCACTTAGAGACTTCCGGTCCCCAGGTATGCAGAGTCACCATGTCGCTCATTGCTCAACCTAGGACACTTTACAAGAGGAACCACATGAACAATGCCACAAGTATATCAGGTGTGAGAAAACAGTCCCAGGCAAGGCAGGCTGTAACATCACCAGAGCAGAAGGTCACCCTCATTGTGTAACACGGCACAGAGAATAAAGGGGCCAGGCTGCAGGGTGGCTCTGAGCTCCATGCTGGCTGCTTATCACGCGAACAGGTTCTGCCCTCCGGAGCATTTCATCTGCATCTTTGTTTCTCCCAGCCGAGAAGAGACTCACTAACAAAGGTGCGCGGAGGCTCTCAGTGGGCCGCACCTGGGCAGGTGCCAGCCACGTTATCTCCAGCACCCTCCCTGGCTTCCTGCAGACAAACAGCATGGCAAGGAGGACAAACACTCGGAGCCAAGCCTTTCAGTGTGGTTTAGAAATGTGGCACCCCCTGGACAAGATCCAAGATGGAAGGGCATCAAAATACATGTTACTGCTCTTCTCCCTGCAAGCAGCAGTCTGTGATAGGGTCAACCCCTCTCAGCTCACCTTATCAAACTCCAAGGATTTTGACTAATGGGATCTAGATTTCACAGCCCGCATCAACCTGAAATTTGGCCCTGTGCATGGATTCAATCAGTCCTACAGCATCACAAACTCTTGATGTGCTGTGCTGTGTCTTACAGACCCCAGTGAGCTGTCTGAGCGTCAACCGTGCTATTTGAACCTGGCTCCTCACATGAGCAACTGCCAGGGGACACATGCCCATCCTTGGGTGTTGGCTGCTCTCTTAGAAGTCACTGCTTTCTGTCTCCTGACCCTTCCCGGACCAGTATTACACGCTGCGCTTTGAGGGACCCTTGGCTCCTCCCCCTTTTGCTGAAACCACGCCCCCACATGATTTCATTACCTACGACCTGCTGTGGGCCACCTGCCCAGGACTATGTGTGATCCAACAACCGGCATGACATGGTGTACTGTCTACTCTTGCCATATAATACCTGAAGACCGTCGCATCCCACCATAATGTCCTACTCGGGGTGACCAGCCTGGAGCAGGAGTGTATGGGAGCAGCGCCTTCGCAGGGCTGGACCCTGCAGGGGATGGTGCTGCCGGCAGCTCCTTGCGCAGGACCATGGGGGTTCCTTACTTCCACACTCGGGATCAAGGGTGCCCATCAGTCCTGTTGCCTGGAGTTCTGAGCGCCCTGCAGCCCTCCTGCACTCCAGCGTGTTCCCTTTTCACAGGGCCCACACACTCCTTCTCTTCTTGTAAACCCCAGGGCACTGAGGGACAAAATCTCCCATGATTATGTCACTCCAAGAATGCCTTAGGAGACAATTCTGGCTAGAAGGTGAAATGGATCTCTACCCCTCACTCACAAACACACACCTGCGAACCTCAGACCTGGCCCACATCTGCTCTCACTGCTTGTCTTTCTGCAGGATGCGTTTGTGTTGCCTTCTTGTGCAACCCTTTTCTAACCAAAAAGTTGAAACTCCTGAGCTCATCTCCACTCCCCACTCCCTCTTGGGCTCCTGGCCCATGACAGCTAGACCCAGATGTGCCTGTGCCTGGTGCCCCAGGCACCCCACCAGCCCAGGTCCCACCTCTTCTTTCATCCTGTCATCTTCTGAAAGTCCACTCCAAAACGTTCCCTTTCACGTCTTGTCACTGCCTCGGTTTTCAGTTTCTGCAGCCAGTGCAATTTCTGGCTTCTTCCCCAAAGTCCTTAGTGGCAACTGACTGGAGCTTGGAGAAACTGGGACTCCGAAGCCCTGGTGCAGCAGAACACAGGACCCACCCTGACCCGTCCTGGAAGCAGGTTCCCCCTGCTTATGAATGAGTGAGAAGGGGACCTGGGACATCTGCTGTTGGAACACACAGGGCCAGGCCTGGCTAGGTCTTTCTGCCTCATCATTTCGAATCTGGCTTGTTGTAGACTTTCAGTAGAAGATGATGCAGGGTTAAATAAATTCTTTCTTCTTTCCCATTTTTCTTTTTCTTTTTCCATTCCAGAAGACTGTTTACCCTCTGGCACAGGGGTGATACTTTCATAATTAGGCTTTAACTAGAGTACATAACTAAACAACTTAAAACCATCTCTGTTTTAACAGTCCCTTGACCTGTGTCAACCCTTGCTTATGAAATCAAGAAAATTGAAAACATGTTTTATGTTTCCATAGGTCTTGGTTGAGGGTCTTATTCAAGGCAATGTGAGAAGAATGTTTATGGAGGTAGAGCTGAATAAAGTGAGAATGTCACCCTGCAAGGCCACTGTACTGAATGGGAAGAGAAAAAAGAATAACCTCATGCATTTCTCAATTTAATTTCTCTGTAGATTCACCAAGGCCTGAAAAAAGGGAGACCAAGTGCCCCATACCCGGGTGTGATGGCACGGGGCATGTGACCGGGCTCTACCCCCACCACCGCAGCCTTTCGGGGTGCCCTCACAAAGTGCGGGTTCCCCTGGAAAGTGAGTACTGCTTAGCCCTAAAGCTATGGGTGCCTTCTCAGGAGCACTGGAACATTACAACATTAGCCTCATTCTTCTCCAGCTTAGAATGAGAAACGGGAACAAAGTTTTCTCTGTGTGTTAAGAAATTTCCATGTAGTTGTGTGTTGGTCAATGTAGCAAAGGAGTAGAAAATTTGAGGGCAAAAAGGCCTACAGATCATGAAACACCAGCCAATGACAAACAATTTTTCCCATAGTCCCTAAGAAGGGGGTCTCCTCATGCTATGAGGGCGCGTCTGGGAGCCCCGGGGTCACTCAGGAGAAAGGGCTAGAAGAGCTGTGAGCAGAAACATGTAGCACGGCTTCTGTGTAGAATGGGGGAGGCAGAGCGAGCAGTCCGAGTACTGTCTGTCTGGCTTAGGAGGCCTTCGGCCTGAGCACTGTCCCTAGCTCTCTGGTCGTCAATCCTGGGGTGAATAGGGAAGGGGCAGTAACTGGAGTGAGCAAGTTTAATAAGGAAGAGAGTGGGCCACGCGCTCTGGAGTAGGCATTCATGTGGGCAGGCCATGTGCCCCGGGAACTGGTTTGGTCTAGCAGCCTCTACCACCCTACCAGAGGCCAAAGTGCCCAAACACAGAGCTAAGATGTGGCCATTCCACTGTGTGACTGCACTGTGAGCCCTCAGCCCCAGGTCAGGCTTCCAAAAGCCAAGACCAGCTTGGGCCTCAGCGCAGTCCCAGGAGGCCACAGTGTCTGCCTGGTTCCCCTCTGCTCTGAGTACAAGCACTCCGTGGTATTACTTCAGGACATCTTGTGGCAGATAGATCCTTAGTGAGGGAGACTGTGACCACCTCCCCGCCCAGCCCTGCTGTGAATTGAGACTCCTCTGGAAGTGGAGGCTTCCTCCGAAGCCATGGAGAGCACATTTCAGACTCTGAGCATATTTATGGAAATCTCTTGAACTACACAAAGCAGCAGAAGTGGGGACACCTCAGCCCCCCAGCCTTCTCAGAATCCAGATTTCGCAAATTACTAAATCTAACTATGGGCTCCTAAATTAATGGGCCCATGGTCTGGTTCTCTGACGGTTCACACGATCATATTCTTGGCCAGAACTACAGGCAATGGAGGGACAAGGGACAAGCAAACAAAACAGCATCACTTAGGAAATAAGAGAGACTGTACATGGTGGTGGGAAAGAGAAGGAAAGGGCTGTTGGACAAATGATGATCTTCATCCATTCCCCCAGGAAAAGCATGAAAATATGAAAGAAAGGTGATCGACTTAGGATTTAGGCAAAGTGTAAGCAGAACAGTCTTATTAAGTCTAGGGTTAAATGGAACATGGAGTTCAGGACAATCAAAATGTGAAAGAACTTGCTGGGCTAATTTCTGAAATTCTTGTTGGCCTTATTGTTTTTCAATCCAAATCTATCCAGGGAGGGAGTATGGTGGATTATGTAATGAAAGTCATTTCAATGTAAAATTGAGAAGTAAATTTGTTGGCATGTTATGCATTTATGGTAAATTATTCTTCCTTTCAATGTGGTGTTTTGTGCTCAGTTCTTGCGATGCATGAAAATGTGCTCAAGTGTCCCACCCCGGGATGCACAGGACGGGGACACGTGAACAGCAACCGCAACACCCACAGGAGGTAATTCTGAGGCTTCGCTAATCATTTTGTGTTGTAAAAACCGAGAGAAACTTTCCAGCAATCAAATAATAAGCTCTGTGCAGCGAGAACCACACATCCTTATCAAATCCCTTGCCACTAAAAAGAGAAGAGGAATATTTTCAGCCTGTTAAGAATCAATGAAGAGAGAGGAAAATTACTCCATTATTTTCTGTCTTAGCAAGATTTGTATTAGCTGCCAGTTAAAGTGAAGAAAATATTACATGTGAAGATGCTGTGGTTCTATGTTCATATCATCAGATGAGGATAGCTTTTCTCCTCTAGAATCTCACCATTGGAGTTTTGACAATGACAAGTTTCTTAGGGGGTATCTTTAATGCCAGTGGGCATTATGATGGTATTCCGGGAGCGTCAGTATTCAGTGTTTCTAAGTGTAAGCTTGGTGTAAAGTTGACATCTTTTCATTGAGATTATAACTCAATTAAAGCATATATATTGCATTCATATCCAAATATATTACATATATATAAATATTTTGGTGAAAGAGTGGATTGTTGCATGTGCATTTTATCTCTTGTAGATTATGTAAGGGACTAGTTAATTTATGAGCATGTTGCCAGAAAATTTAATATTCCACACTTCTTATTTAAACTAAGATATGAAATGCAGTGTTTAAAATTTTGCTAAGGAGCCTAAGATAAATAATAGAGTTACCATGCTAAACTCTTAAATTGAACAAATTACAATCAGAATGAGCACATTCTCCTGAATACGTTAATTTTCAAACTCTTCTGGTTACTTCTGCTTTATGTAATATTTTCATTTTTCTAAGTGAGTTGATTTTTCGTCTCTGAGGTGGAGGTGGGGGACACGCGCTGACGTTGCCGTCCCTAGAGGCCTTTGGGGTCTCTTGGTAGAGCGACGTTACGTGAACTGTTAATCCAACTTAGCAGTTAGTGTGTGCGAACACACCGCGAGATGCGTGCCAAAGCCAATCACATTTTCATTTTAACTCACATTCTCCTGCCTTTCTTTTTTGAAACAGCCTTTCTGGTTGTCCAATTGCTGCTGCTGAAAAGCTGGCCATGTCCCAAGATAAAAATCAGCTTGATTCTTCGCACACCGGGCAGTGTCCCGACCAGGCACACAGGTATGAACTCCTAGTGCTTCCGGCTGCCTGCTCGTGTCGTGATCTTGTCCAGCTGGGCTCTCTTCCTCTGTGTCACTTCCCTGGGGTCTGATTTTCACTCTCAGCCACCAGTGGACCTGTGTGGATGGCCCACAGGAAAGGCTGCCTTAGGAAAGGTTCTTCCCTTACACAAGCGATGAGATAGCTCAGGAGGTTAACGTGAAACTCCTCTGCTCACAAAGCTAACATAGAGTGGGCCAATCTAGGAGGAATAAAGCATACAAGAATGTATCCTAATTAAATGTCTAAGTCATTAATGTAACACACGCCACAAGTCTGATGAGTCTCCCTGTGTGAATGACTTTATCTTCCCCACCTGTGGAAAATGCCCTCATAACCACTCCAACCCACCATATATTCATCCTGCAGTTCCACGTATAAATATAACTTTTTTAACACAAGCATTCATTCCATAATAGCTGCTATTAAAATGTCTCCCATTGGTTTTGTAGCTACCAGGTCCTTCATGGGACATCTTATGTCTAAATAAAAAAAAAAGTATGATTATGTTTAATGTCATGGTGCAGTCTCCAAATGTATCCTGTCCTGTCCTGTCCTGTCCTATCCTACCTTACCCTACCCTACCCTACCGTACCCTACCCTACCCTACCCTACCCTACCCTACCCTACCCTACCCTACCCTATCCTATCCTGTTCTTTCCTGTCTTGTTCTGCCCTTCCCTGTTCTGTTCTGCTTTATTCTATTCAACAAAGGTCATAGATGTAGGAAAAGTGATTTCAGGATATAAACGATGGTTAGATGATGGTTGTTTAAAAATGCTGAAATGTAAATGTGCTTGGAAACCTTGCAGTATTTTCTGGATTGGCTTCCCTTAATATATTGCTTCCATAGATTTAATTGAGAGTCAAAATTTGTGCTTAGATCACATGATCTTCACATGTGTCAAGTGAAGGTCATGAATTACTGAGCAACAATTAGAAACCTTAAACTGGATTTCATGGTTCATATCCCTGTATCCTATAATTTCTCTCAAGACTATTTATCAAACACAGAAATAAAATTGCTTCATTTTTCTACATATCTTGAAGTATTTGGTTACTTGAGATCAGAATGATTTTATAATCTTGAGGGCAAAGCTAATCTATGTATCATCTCTCAAATGTTTTTCAGTAGCAGCTAGTCTTTTACCAATGCAAAGTAATTGTTAAAGTTGACATTCTGATGAGTGGGAACAGTTTGTTGAAAAGTAGAGGGAAGGATTATTATTATTATTATTATTATTATTATTTTTATTTTTTTGTGGAACTGGGGATTGAATTCAGGCCCTTGCACTTGCCAGGGGACCACTTATTCTACTGAGCCATCTCCCTGGCCCCGAAGGATTACTTTTTATATAACAAATTCTGAAAGGTTAGACTATAGCAGAAAACAAAATTAGCTTGGCCAGAGCTGGTGCCGCATAGATAGGATACTGTTTAACCCAAATGTAATAATTCTGCGGGAATGAATGCTTAACTAACATTTATCATGGAGTGGAATGGCTGCATCAAAAAATGCAACAAGTATTATGATATAGTAATTTAATTTATATTAGAATGATGGCAATTTAATAGACTGAAATTCTGAAATGCTATTAAAATATTAAAATCAGCAAAGAACACTCAGCCTGAAGGTGGGGTAAAGTGGAGAAGTGCCTAAGAAGAAACTCAATTCAAGAATAAGTTCTAGGGCTGGCCAGATAGCTCAGCGGACTGAAGCACCTGCTTAGGCAGGCGCGGCACCCAGGGTTCCACCCCGATATGCCCAGCTGGCCCTGCTCTTGGGGCTCGCTGAGACGGCAGCTGAGACTGGGCGTGGTGACGCGCCTGCACTCCCGGCACTTGGGAGGCTGCAAACAGAAAGATCACTGCGGGTCCCATCTGTGTAGTGAGACCCTGAAGACCCGGTACTAAATGCATTAAAAAAAAAAAAAAAAATCCATTCTTCTCGCATCCGCATTGCTCCAGCTACGCATAGACACACTTAAGACTCTTCGTTGCTAATTTTGATAGATCGACAATTCTATTCAGTAGAATGTAGGTGCCTTGTCAATGGCTCAAACCGTACCTGCTGATGGTGACACCGGCACAGGGAGAGCGAGGCCTCCACGTTGCTGTCTTGCGATCGCAGATTGGGCCGCCTTCGCAGCGGCGTCATCGGCCGGGAGACCCCGGCCTTGCGCGTGGCCGCGCCCACCGCTGCGGGCTCCGAGCGCCCC